AAAACATCTAAGTGAAACTGATAGTCTCTCTCCCTCAAAAAAGGAAAATATAAAATTCCACAAAAAAAACCAAATCAATATATTTTAAACCACATTGGGCAACAGCATTGGAGAAAAAGGTTCCAGGCTTTTAACATGGGATGGTCAATAGTTAACACTAGCCAGGTTTGATTATGTTTTGTCACAGAAAGACAACAGAAATAAACCAGAAAAAAAAATGCCCTAAGTCCAATCTTTTCAATTCTAGAACTTTAGATTTTGCAAATGTTTGTTATTAATTAATTTTGTTCTTTTTGCCTTCTTCCTAATCCTACAGAATAGATTTGTGGCAAGCTCAGCCTCTAGTTTTAGAAGTGGGCCTATATTGTAAGTAGAAATAACATTTGCATTGTTTAGGATTTTCTTTAACCATATCTAAAATTATTTTTCTCTTAAATGGAAAAAGGTTTTGGGTCTTTTTAAAGGTTTCCCTAAGGAATTAGTCAGCTTTCCAACTAACTTTTATTTTGCAAATGTATCTACCCTTTGTATGAAGTTTTGTAAATAATTTAACAAATGATGAAAATAAAAACATGCTGCATGTTAACTACCATAAAATGCTTAGAACTGTACAATCAGTTCTCTCTGTTGCTCTCTTTTCAGTTATTCCGTCAAAGCACAAATCCTCTCTGGTCCTTTCTTTTAGAGAGAAAAAAAAAAAAAAAAAAAAAAAACCATATTTAATGTGCCAAGAACTCATTGTATACTGGGAGACCCTCAGTGAACACAACTGAGATTTCAATACATTACACCCTACTGCATTAAGCCACAAAAAGACCACGTGTAGAAGGGAAACTCTTCCTGTCTTTCAGGCAGTAGTTCTGTGTCATATTGTTTTAAAACACATTAAATAAATGTTCATATATTTATATACAATTCCCTGCTATTTACATTGACAACATATATATATGCATATGAAATATACAACTGGGAAATTTTATTTCAACACTCTTTCTTATTTGAAAACTTGACTGAACTGTATTTGTTTAAAAAATAATAATAAAATTATTCCCTGAACTGAAATTGAAATGAACAAACTTCAAATGAAAGGTAAAGATCTTAGATGTTCTCAGCCACTGGAAATAAATTTTAACTACACTAGGTATTCAGAACATTGCCATAAACTATGATTTGAGATTTTCTAGACTCATTGGTTAATTTTGTTATAACCAAGTTATGTTACACGATTTTAATTTCTTAGCTTTTATGCATGTGTGCACACATAGACTGGGTATGAGGATAACTCTTACACAGTATTTACATTATTCATTACTGCCAATAAAAATACAAAGTTTGCTGGCAATCTCTAAGAGATATATATCATATAGCATATATATGTTATATATATTGCATGCCATTTCTTCCTTCCCCTTCTCATTTCCTGCATTTGCTAAAGCAGTTTTTATACTTGCATTCATACTCACAGTATCGACTAACTTTCCATTTCTGCTCCCTGGGCATCCTAGCAGTGACTGAATTAAATATGAAGCCAAAAAAGAAGAAGAAACAAATACTGAATGACCTTGAAATAAAAACCACCTGCATTGCATGAGCTTTGGTGCTCTAGTCTTGAAAATCTGTGTCATTACACTTCACTCTTTTAAGTCACATCATAGGAAACAAATTCTGAGTATTGATTATCATACATTATAAGCTGCTCATCTCACCATTAGCCTGTTATTTTGATGGCTACAGCTAGTAGACAGCGAAGAAAATCGAACCCAACCACTTTTACAGCAGAAACTATAAACACAAAGTGAACTATCACCATCAAGGGCCAAATTAGTATATATGAGAAAATAGAATCAATTTAAAGGTAAATATAAATATATATATATATATATATATGTATGTATGTATGTATGTATGTAAAATAGGTCATACACTGTGGTATATAGCAAGATGTGCTGGTAGAGTGATATGCACCATTGGTCTTTATCTCTATACTTGCCTCCCTCCTGTTGAAAATAAACCCTTAACAGTGCAAGTGTGTATAATAAACAGAAGGAGCCTAGAGGTTTTCCTAACTCTCTGGAGTTTTAAGGGTAAACAGTCAGAAGTGCTTTATGCACTTAGGGGAGAACATACACTAAAAAAGAATTGGTAATTTATCAGCCATGGAAAGAAAAAAAAAAAAAGTTATCTGGAAACAACAGTCACCTAGAAAGGAAATGTATATCGGATAGAAATTTAAGATGGTGTAGGATGAAAGTTATGTTGTCAACATAGAAAATGCAATGCAAGGTATGTATTTTGATGCAACATAAGAAATACCTTACGCATCTTATTCTATATTACCAGAAGAGCTGTATTTAAAATCTGCCTTCTGTAGCAAGCTTAAAGCAAAAGATACTTTTATTGTGCTATCTTTAATTTCCCATGCTTTCCTCATAAATATTGTGAAGAATTAAATATGGGTACCAATTTCACCCTAAACATATTGCAATAGACAGTTAATTAATTAATGCGTTAGATAGCTGCCTCCTTTCAACAGCTAAAACTGAGATATCTTACTTTAACTCACTAATTATATTAAATTTGCATAATTATAACAAAGAAAAAAATCAATAATTAATTTTTTTTAACAGTGACTCAGTTACTGTTATTAACTGAACCCAGTTAATAAATACAATATTTTTTCTAATTTAATTGTACCCTAATTATCTACATTACACATAGACACACAAAGCAGAAAACCAAACGAAAAGTAAAAAATCCATGTACATAAAACATCACCATACAAACATTTTCAAGAAATATCTCATGCACTATATAAGATGAAGAACGCTATACTCCGTATCAAAGTGCTCCATATAATGTAATAGTAAATGGCCAGGTTTGTGTATAGGGGAAACCAGATTTTAAAAATATGTGTATATACATGTATTTACATACATATATACACATAACTAAAAACATGTATGTATATGTGCCTATACATTTATTTAAAGACTGGTTTACCCTATACACTAGCCTGGACATATACCTATATATATATACACCTTTACATATACAATCATATTCCTCTCAAAAACTTGTAAATGATATTATCAAATTGTATTTGAAGTTGAACAAGGCAGAGAGAGTTCAAATCATTATAATTTATAAGATTTGATCTGGCAAATGGTGATTCAAGTGCCCTGAAGTGCATTATTTTCTAAGAATTTTTTACACATGAGATATATTAAAAAAAAAAAAAAAAAAAAAAAAAAAAAAAAAAAAAAAAAAAGTAGCTTTGTAGTACCGTACATTCTTCGATGAAAGTTAAATAAGAATATGGCCAGATAAGTACGTGAATAACAGTGAATATTTTGAAATGTCAGTAGCTTTTGCTATCATTTTATTAGCTTAGGAAATGCTAGCCTATCTTTCAGATATCTTATTTACTCTTACTCTCTTTCAACAGGTGATGTTAGTCTTTACTATCACATAAACACGTCCCTTCTAACTGGCCTTTTTTTCCTTCTTTTCTATCAATATGGAAGCTAAAAAATAGACATTAATTGTCATTGGCTGGCTCAGCTGACTAGAATGGCTGTCAACTAACAGCTCCAAATGAAAAATATGCTGGAGGACCCATTCTAAAAGGTATATAGTCTTCTTTTTGAAGCATACAGTTTCACACTGCTGATACAATCTACCTTCACCCTTGATATGCTCTATTCTTCACTGCATTACAGGGTGAACATGTTTTCTGACCCTTGTTTCACATTAAAAAGAAAAAGATGTGCCTTTGATGCATACATGGAGTTCACACTGACTTCCCTAGGAGAGAGATTCATTTCACCCTTGATTTTGTGAATTTGTGTTCATTATTGAAAATATTTCCATCTAGAATTCACACAATAATAAAACAAGGTGTAAAATCCTTTCTAGCTTATATTTCTCTGGTCTAAACCCAAATATACTTCATAAAAAAACTCACTAGTACTTGTCTTAGACTAAAAAAACCCCTGTATGTTTTATATATTTTAATACTTTTAACAGATATGAAAGAGATATTTTTGTACATATGTGTAAATAGATGGGCAATAAATGGCATCTAACATCTAGTAGTGAATATAAGTAAGTCTGCCTTTCAGAATGTCAGTAATTCCTGTAATATGACCAGAAAACCTCCCTGAATTGATATGAAATGGTGTCTTACTTTTTTTTTATTATTTATTTATTTTTTTTTTAATTTTTTTTTATTTCAGACAGGCAATTGCCTTTACTAAAGAACTGAAAAGACTGTAAGTAAGTATTTATTACAGGAGAAAAATAATGGGCTGCTTTGACATGTCCTAAACACTGGGGCTATATGACACTTCTGATGAGAACAATCAGCTAAAGTACTACTTCTGTGGTTGGATTCCTGTTTAATTACAATTGATTTTGACATAAATGAGCAGAGGTAAACAAATACTTCTATACACATGCTTGCTGTTATTAAACAGAGCTGTCTCCAATCTGAGTATTTATATTGGCTTGTCTGTTTAAAGGCTCCTTTCAGTTAGGCAAAGCAATTATGTAGCTCAGATTAGCAAAATGACTGGCAGTAAAATGAGAATGGACTGCCACTTTTTTAAACCTCTTGGATCCCGTGGTCTTTTCCTGGTAATATAACTACAAGCTTCTGAGGTCTGTAATCCTTACATAGTTGCCCGTTGTTGGTTTTTTGGTTGGTCATTTTGTTTGTTTGTTTGTTTTCTGGACACCGGATAAAGAGAATATATTTTTTCTATTGGCATAGCATAAACCACTTCAAAAGCAATAAAAACATTGTGGGCCTATAGATTTAATTCTAGCTGACATTTGTTCCAAACCATAAATATTGGAGGAATATTTCAGGATTACATGGAGCACTACAGAACATTTAACACTTTTCTAATGGAAGTATGCTTTAAATTCATGCTTAAAATTTAATGGCAATCACATATTTTTATTTAAAGACAGTAAGAGCAAGAAAACATTTCTGTTACCTGAAAATTTTCCATCCTCACAGCGGGCTGGTCCACAGATCCCAACAATGGGTCTTTGGCCTCTGCCTTGCTGTTCTGGAGGCAAATCAGACCTGTGAGTCACAGACAGGGATAGGCTCTGCTTCCAAAATTCACAACAATGTCAAAACTTCCACAGCAGAAAAACAGTTTCTATCTGTGGCCCAGGCATAGCTCACAGCCCTTGAAATTTTTCGCTATGCTTCTCAAAGGTATAAAACCACAAGAAGTTTATAGCTGGCAGTGAAATGAAAATGTCTGACTAGTAAAAAGGGTGTCTCATTTCTTTCTACCAAAGAGGCAAGGCTGAGAATGGACACTCAGTTTTGGTTTCCAACATTTGCCTTTAAATCAGACTGGCACCTACTCTAATTTGCAGTAAAAAGATCATATGACAGTCATGAAAAGACATTTTGGCCTCTTCCCGATCCCACCATAAAAAACTCTTCCTAGTCCAGGGCTGCAGGGAGGAAACGTACAAGGGCTAGATATGCCAGCCCCGGGCTTAGCTAAGAAGCTACAGGGAAACTTCGGTAATCTGACAAATTCATAGTTTTAAACAGCAAATCTTTGTTGTAGAACCCAAAAACTGTTTCCTAGAAAAGAAGAGAAACAAAACTGCAGTAATTAACAGAAGAGAACAGGCTTGCAGATCTGTTAGAAAGAACATTTTTAATATAGCACATTTTCCTACTCTTGATCAAGGCATTTCCACAGATTTTACAGTGGGATTGTTTCAGTACTGGCATCTAAAAATGCATTCTAAAATCTGAAACTTAACTGAATTATTTGTGTAATCATTTGCAGAATTTGAATGATATTCACATTCCTTTTAACTAACTGAATTATGAGCTAGTCATAATTATAATATGAATAATTTCTGTATCTAATTTGTAATATTTAGTAAATACTAACAATGTATATTGTACTGTGGCAATGTTTAGGAATCCAGTCATTAACCAGGCCCTTTGTGAGGCATCCTATACAAATTTTAATAGATTGTACAGTTAGAGACAAGAGGTTACAAGTGATTAGGACTAACAAAAGCAATGAATGGGAAGGAAAGACAACATTAATGAAAATATAATCATGCTGTTGACATTTCCTGAAAATACCAATATAAAAGCTCCATAATTTAAAGAAGATATCCCCATCTGTCATACCGTCAAGCCACCAACGTTTAGCTATATATTACACCTCTGAGCCTTCCTCACTGGTTGCCAATTATCTCAGTATACAAAACTTTAATTAGAAGGCACCAAGCTTTCTGCCTTGTAAACTTGTCTCAAATTTGGATATGACAACTTGTTTACAGACATTGACTGATGAGGGTGCCACTGAGGAGAGAGACTACAGGCTTCTGAAGAAATCTGTTTCTATGTCCTTTTGGTGGCTCTGTTTTCATCCTGTCTATAGGTAGACTCTCTTGAATGGAAGTCTGTCAGATTCTGTGTAGGAGCATGATTTTGTCCCCAAACCGAAACAATGTAGTAAAGCTTTTCAAATGCTATTTGTTTTCCTTTACAGAGTCTCACAGAAATTGGCTACAGGCTATATGAATGCTGAACCATTCAAAATCTGGTCACTTTGGTGAAAGAGAGTAGTTTCTGCCACATTTCTGCCAGTACGACTAGATTTAAATTCAAAATCTCCTTTACCAGATATAATGAGACCATGTCTGTTTTATACTGATAGATGGAAAAGCCCACTGGGTATCATTCTCTGCTTCAAAAGGTTGATGTCGTATACGGGTCATATAATTTGGACTTCATGGGAGGTACAATGCATCTGCCAGAACAGGAGGAAGAACATTTTTCATGATGCTGCTCTCAGAAAAACCCTGAAGTTGTCTGGGCATCTTAAAGAACTGTCACTTGGACATACAGATACAGAAATGCCTTCTTAGGAAAAACTTACATAAGAGCTTCATATAGAGTCTGTCCTATGCTATGGTAAGTAACTTATTAATTATTGTTTGATTAGATGATGCTCTAGACTTGTTTAGCAGATTGGTGGTGGTGTGTTTCATTGCCACCTTCAAAAGAGATTTGCAGAACATTGTTACTCTTATGCCGATTTATGAAGCACCTGCATTATCTTAGGAATCTGAGTTTCATAATGCTGTCCTACATGGCTTTCTGCCCTGACAGTGCTCCAATTAGATCTATCAGAAAGAATAATTAAGAATGCTTTTTTCAAATCTGATTCTAAATAAAACTCGTTTGGTAAAAAGAATTGTGCATGTAAACAGATTCAATACCACATTTTCAGGTTCTCCATGACCTGTAAACAAATTTCTGAAAGACACTGAAGATGACTTCAGAATACTCAAATCTTTCTTCTCCCAGATCCTTCATCAAGAACCTTAAGTTCCAGATCATTTTCTTGTATTTCAAGGATCGAGGAGATTATAGATATTAACAACACTAATACACAAAATCTCTCCTGCTGGTTACTTTTATTTGCAGCAGCTGAGCTGCTCAACTGAGAGTCATTTTTTCACTTGTCATCTCGTATTTGTTACAGCTTTAGTTTTGTACTGATGTCAGCATACTGTGATGTGACAAAACACGTTTTTAAGGAAAACTGGTAATTTGGGAACTATTTCCAAAGATGTCACTATGTGTTCATTGTTTTCACTAATATCTTCAGTTTTTAAGCCTGAAACTGTTAGAAGCTATTTTTCTGGTCTCTAGCAACCCTTCATCTCAGCCATGTTCTTTAAAAAAATGGATTTTAGTCCTGGAGATAGACTTAAAGGCTAGTTACAAACATCACCACCAAGTAAGATGCAGTCAGTGTAATTTCTTTCAGCTGTGCCCTCAGCTTACTTATCTGAGCACCCTACAAAGGATATCCAACAGTGAGGCAGTAGATAAGTTAAACACTGTTCTGGAAAATCAAGTAAAAGATGCAGCTGCTACCTTTAAAGCTGCTGAAGGATTCACAATATGTCAGTCAGTGTCAATCTATTGACTTTAAGAAAGTCTTTACTCTGTAGAGGTAATGAAGAAACTACAACCCTAGAACTAGGTCAGACATACTGTAAAATGCAGTAAAACCTATTCTAGACATAGCTCATGATCAATTTTCTTGGGGTATTTAAAGAGACCTTTTAATTTACTGGAACTTATAATGATAATATTTACTTGAGTTAGAGTTTCATGTATGCTTTCCACCATGACTTGATCTTAATGGGTCCCTCTCCTCACAGCATTTTTGTTATATTGGAAAGAAAAGGAAAGAGACCCGTACAGTTATTATTGCCTTGAATTCTTAGTATCACAGATAATGGAAAGCAGAGAAAACTGAGCCCCAATATCTATGGTATGGTTTTTCAAAAACAGTCTCTGAGTTTCCTAATAAAAACATATCTTTCCTTTGTTTTTCTTTAAGAAAAAGAATCACTTTAATTCCCAAGGAGACAAAAATTGTGTTTGAAGAACCATATCTGAAAGCAAGGCTCTGTCTGACCTTCAACAAATTCTGTAAGGAATTAAGGTAAGAAAAACTGACTTGTAGAAAAAAAAAATCAAGCTTTTTTTTTTTTTGTCCACCTGTTACAGCACATGCATGGTATGTATCCTACTTCTCAGGTATCTAAGAAACAGTTTAGCGGTGTTCTAAACTTATCTGTAAGCTCTCAAGCGACTCTCTGCTGTTCCAGCTGAAGATGGATACAAGGCAGCTAATTTGCTACCACCAAGGGAAAATGTTGTAACATAAAAACATTCACTCCCTGAGCTTCAAAACTGTCGAGTGCCTAGGGAGCCTGACTATTTGTAGAGTTGATACTATGCATATGCTTCCTCTGTAACTGTTACACGCATACATCTGGCATCTGTCTCTGTGTTAAACAGACTTAATTGTCCCTAGTATTACTATGTAAAAAGCCTCTAACCTAGATGGTTAAAACAAAACAAAACAAAACAAAAATAATGAAAGGATATATGTGTTTTTTGTAGAATTATTTTTGCATTATTGGCAAGATATGCAGAGAGCTCTGCACTATGACTATTGGCAAAATATTTTAGCTCTGCCTTCCAAATAACTTTAAAGAAAGATCACGCTCTTTGCTTAGCATGACATTTGGCACCTTGTAAAGCCTCTTAATCAAATGGGGGTGTTATAGCTGGAATCCTTTCGCTGGAATCCCTTTTTCCATTTATTGTCTTTTTTTTTTTTTTTTTTTTTTTTTTTTTTTTTTTTTTCCCCTTGATTGTTGATCCTCCCTCTTATATCCACATCGGACTTCAGAGCATTTAATCACTTGCCAGACGTATCTGGACTGATTCTGAAGATATGTTTGGTTTTTGGTTTTTTTAAGTGATATTAGGGGGATTCTGTATGTTAGTACATTATTGAGCTCACTGTTGTTAGTAAAGTTAGCAAAGACTCAGGCAAAGCACCTGATTTCAGATTTCAATATGTTCTTAAAAGATCAAAGAGCATGGCAAATCTTGTTGTTTGGTTAGACAGACCATGAGAACAGCAATAATCTAAAAGATGGAGGTAGCTGCATAGAACTAATACTAAATTGAAGGCCTTTTGAAGTTATTTTAACCTTTGTGTCAATGCTCATCTCAGAATGTCCCAGCAAAGTAAAAAAAAAAAAAAAAAAAAAAAAAAAAAAAAAAAATTAAAAAAAAAAAATCTAATTGGGAAAACACACAGAAATTAGTTCTTCCTGTAAAGTAAGATAAGAAAATGCTGGTGTTTTGACATCTGACATAATTCATGATGGCAAAAATGAAATTTGTTCAGGGTGCTTCTTTTACTAAGATTTATTTGTTTGAGTATAAAGCATAGTCTTTCCTAAGTACCTGCCTAAGTCTATTTAGGATACGGGGAAAAGATATTCCTACAGCTGAGGTCTTCTGAAGACCCTGATTTCCTCCTACCATGTGCACTAAATCCTAGTGAGCAGGAAGACAGGCTATAGTTTTTTCACACCTCTTGTTTAAACTTTATTATCATGGAACTAGGAAGCAAACCAGAGAGAGCTTCCATCTAACCTGCTATTTAAGGGAGAGTTCTTGTCAATCAAGGGACTGGGA